CACACACACACACACACACACACACACACACACACATGAGGTGCAGGAACACAGATAAATACTTGTTTCTGTCACTTTCCACTTTCAGCGTTGTGGCAGAGTGGACCTCAGGTCGACAGGATTATCAGTTGTTGGGGGTTTTTTTGTGGTTTTTTTTCCCTCTTTTCTTTTGTTTTTTTGTGTCCTGTTGTGATTTCCGTCATTGAGAAATGTTCTAACCACATGTCTCAGTTTCTCCATTTGTTGTTGTTGTCGTTGTTGTTGTCAGTGGAGCCTCAAAATTACTCAATGGGTCGGCCGTGTTTAAAATTGTTGTTAAATGTTTACTAAATCGTCAATCAAGAGGATAAAAATGTCTGACAAAGAGGGGCCACTGGGGGATTGTAATTTTTCCAGCAGTGGCCTTTGCCCCCCTGGCACCCACTTGGTGACACCCCTGCCCCTGTTTATTTATTTATTTTAATCTTCAAAATGTATTTGATTTCTGTTTTTGCTGTTTTACAGTGCTTTAATAAAGCATTCATATTGAAAGTTGCCACAAAGTTTAAGTATTTTACTGCTGTTAGACCAGGTGTGTCAAATTCAGTTACACAAGGGGGGCCAGAATTCATATTTGGTCCAAATATTTCAAGGGTTAATATCTATTAATATTTATTGGGGAAAAAGTTTTTACAAGTTATATAAAATATTTCTATTGAAATACAAATKACATTTTTCAAATTATATTTTACAACAAAGGTAAACAGGTAAAGAAAAATGATTACATTTAGAACGACACATCATTCCTTTGTTATGCCTTATACTCGACATCAWCAACTTTTTTTATCTTTTCTTAGAGACACATTTTATTACAATCCAGTAGATGTGTTTAAAAACTTCATTTYAAGTTAAAATAAACAGAGAATATAGAAAAAATAGTTAAAATCGACTGCTTTCATGAGAAGAACTAAGTCCAGTGACATAAAGAGAAACAAAATAATTTAACATTTAAATTATTACCTTTGGGGCCAGATAAAATGTTAACGCGGGCCACATTTGGCCCGAGGACCAACACAAAGCAGTGCATAATTGTGAGGTTGGATTTTAAAAAATACATGGTTCCCATTTTTATTTTATTTTATTTTATTTTATTCTGATGCCCCCAAATTCAAAAATAACTTACTGCCTTCATAAGTCACCTAAATAGTAAACTGAGTCCGATTCAAGTTTATGACTCATGATAAAAGGATGTTATTTGACCAACAGGTTGTTCTAAATGTGTAATTCTGTCATTTCAGTAGGAGAAATAAATGTTTGATGCTGCCAGCGGATGAGACAGACGAGGAAATGAGAACGAGACTGGAAGACGATTAAAGCCATCATGCTGAAACGGTGGCTGTTGTCCCTGATGGCCCGATTCAGCCTCATCATGCTGGGCCTCGGCTGCTGCCTGCTGCTGTTTTACCTCCTGGCCTGTAAACCCGCCTCCCAAAGCAGACAGCAGGCTCTGCTGTGGCCTGGAGGTGCCACCAGTAAGGAGGGCTACATGGCCCTGCTGCAGGAGAGGGAGGACTCTCACAGACATTACATTAACAGTCTGACCAAGCAGATAGCCGAGCTGAAGGAGGCCGTCCAGGAGAGGACGCAGCAGCTCCATGAATCTTTGGAGACGGCTAAAACTAAAGGGATTCTGCCTCAGGGCCTGGAGAGTCTGCACAAAACCCCAACAGAGTCTGATCTGAAGGTGGGGAAATACGAGCTGATTTGTTTATATGTGCTGAGAACATAAACCTTATTAAAGCCATCGTGTTGCATTTCAGGAGTTTCTTCGCTCTCAGCTGAACCAGGCTGAGGTGAACGTGGGTGTGCAGCTGCCTAATGAATATGCACTGATTCCTTTTGACACTTTCACCCTGCAGACGTGAGTAAAAACTGCCCCAAGCCCCAAAAATACAGCATAAAATCTGAATGTTTTCATTTGTATTTTGTTTTGTGTCTCAGGGTTTACCAGCTGGAAACAGGACTGAGCAGACACCCAGCTGAGAGGCCTGTGAGGAGGGATCACAGGGATGAGCTGATCGGGGCCGTGGAAACGGCTCTGCACGTCCTGAACGGACCCCAGCAGCACGCTGACTCCAGAAGGAAGCAAACATACTCCCCCTCAGACTTCATACAGGGTGCARACAAGCTCACTTTATTATTAAATCTCAAATCTTTAGAGCACACCTGGGGAACATAAATAAAATCACTATATTTACACATCAGTACTCATTTTTGATACCTTTAACTTTAATATGATAAAGTTATTTTCACTTAGATTCAAAAAGGCATGTCAGCATTAACTAAAGAATTTGCATTTCCTTTGAAAATGCAGTGTGAATGCTGAACTGTGAAAGATTTGTGCTGAATAGCTGAAAAACCTGAAACTGGCCTAAAATAGCTAAATAAAAAAAAAGTCAGTGAATTTGCTGAAATTTTCATAGAGAAACAGAAAGAGCATGTTAGCTAAATTAGGCAGTTAGAAGCTGGAATCATCACAAAATAACTTTGCTAAAGAATAGCTAAAACCACAAAAAACAGCTGAAATGAGCAGAAACCAGCTGAAAGAAAMATAAAAAGATTAAAACAGCAGAAAAAAGTTGAAAGAAGAAAAAGAAGTTTAAATTGGCAAAATAAAAAGGGTAGAATAACAGCTAAAAGAGCAGAAAAAGCTAAAATAAACAAAATAGAAGCTGAAGGAAACTGAAATTAGCACAAGGAAGTAAAAAAAGGGGCAGAACTTGAACAAAACGTATTTACAGTAAACATTTATGAACATTTTGAAAGACAGCTCTATTCGTTTTCAGCAAGGACAAATATGAATGAAAAAGCTAAATATCTATAAATTGCTGAAATACAAAAAAAAATCCTAGCTGGAATGTGAAGGAGCTGAACTTTTTGAAACACATATTGTTAAAAWAGGACAAAAACTGCAAAACGTGTGAAAAATGTATGGTAGGAAAATGGATCTGAATAGCATGAATCCTTATTAAAGCATTATTACGAGCTGTTTTATCTTCAGAAACTATTGTTGATGCCTAAACTCAAAGTGACATATTGATAAATGAACTGCATGTTAAAGCTTATGTATAATACTGTGTAGAAAATAATAAACAATTCATTTAGTTCAATTTTTTGCATAAAGAAAACAAAAGAAAAKTCTAAAGTGGAAATTCTGTATTTTTTGGGAGATTTGGTAAATAATAAGTTACATTTAACAAGCACCTTTACAAAAGGGAATGATTAAGAACAAAGGGCAGGGTGTATTAAAAAGACAAATTGTTTTGGTTTGTTATGTTGTTCTTTGTATTTTTTTTTTTGTTGTCTCTGAATGATTAACAGAAACTCTGACTGATTATGAGATACAAGCACATAAATAGTRATTTTGTGAAAAAATTGGAATCTTTTTGTTTTACACTGCAAAAAAAKKYCMWYYTWMCMARKTTTWAAAWYYT